TTTTTTTTTTTTTTTTTTTTTTTTTTTTTTTTTTTTTTTTTTTTTTTTTTTTTTTTTTTTTTTTTTTTTTTTTTTTAATGGCATACTGGAGTTGGACAAATAGAGTTGCATTTATGTGTGTTGGTTTTTTTTTTAATCTATTTTTGTTCTTATGATTCATGATTTTAGTTCGCATACAAGTTTGTGTAAGAAATTTATTTATTGTGAACGTGTACGTATTATTTTTCTATAGTAGTTGGAATTTGCATTGTAGCATGTGAAAAAGGTATAAGATACTTTAGGAGAATGATATGAAGCCTCATAATGTCCACCTATCTAGGATAATATGTATGTGTACATTGAACGTAGATACTCGTTTGATTATAATATTTATGCCTTGAGAAACCTGTAAGATAGATAATCTCTTAGGTTTAAGGTTAGCCCTAGCTTGAACTATAACTTGAAAGATATCTAATTTACTGCTGGCGTTTTTAATTACTTGGCCAATGTTTGGCAGTTGTATAAAACTATTGTATTAATTCTCTTCCGATTTGGGATTCATTATCATTTCTACCTTAAGTAAAACTCATGTCCAGAACAAGAACTACTCGTTTCAATAATATTTGGTGATTTTGATGCAGAAATCAGAGAATGACAGAAGATCAATCTGTGGTTGGTCGGAGGAGAATATATTATGGTCAAAGTGGAGGCGAAGCCCTTATTTGCAGCGATAGTGAGGAAGAAGCAATCGAGGACGAGGAGGAAAAGAGAGATTTCGTGGAATCTGAAGACTATATACTTCGGTTGGTATAAGCAAATTGATTGTATTTAGGCATTTTCTAACATAAATAATATATTTTGGTTTCACTGTAAATTGTTGCCTACGCATTTATATTTTTGATGTAAAACTTACTAGTAGGTTTGTGATTCTCCAAAATCAAACCAGAGAAATTCAATCAGTAATCACACATTTGTTTATCTCAAAGGTGGAGGAGAGACCCTTATTTCCTTATTTTTGGCCGGTCAACTGATGTACTGACATTGAAGAAAAATTAGCCACTAGTTTTTGCCCTTATGTAAATTTTCTATTTCTAATTTCTATCTCATTGGACATGCATTTGAATGATTTGAATATGCTGGGTTTGTTCCTCTCCTCTCTCCTCCCTCGTTGAAACATAATCAATATTACTTATGCAAAAAACTTCATAAAAATGAACAGATGATTACAACTCAACCACTTTTTGAGAGGGTGAGACTCTCTTATTTGACCTTAACAACTAGGGGATGGTGTATTTCCATATTTGCCTTTCCTAACCTAAACATTCACTATTAAGGCCCTAAAATCTCCCCTTGAATTGAGAGCCACCCTGTCCTTGATGTGAAAATTTGGAAATTTGTTGTGAATTGTGTCAAGTGATCCTCAAGTAGCTTTGTATTTAGGTATACCCGTCACTGAACAAATAGTTCCACTCCTTTTCATCTCTTCCGTAGTTGGTAAGCTATAATATCTTGTGGAATGGTTTACCAATCAAAATCATCAGTGAGGATTGGCGGTTGAGCTTCAATCAACGTGTTACTTCCCATCATTTTTTTCAATTGTGAGACATGAAACATGGGTTGGATATATTCGATTCATGAGGCAGATCCAATCTATGGACCTGCCCGATCCATCCACCACACAACAGGGTCCAAAGAACTAGGGATAAATTCTCATTTCTTTTTTTGGTCTGGGATACCTGCCTATAAGGTCTTAATTTCAAGAATACTCATTCTCCTAGGTTAACCTCCCACTCTCTTCGTTTGTGATCAATAAACTTTTTCATCCTCTCTTGTGTTACACTAGCTACGACTTGAGCTTATCAAGCACCAAATCCCTTTTTTTCCAATTGCTGGTCAAGTGTGCCATTTTTCGTTTGCTGATCACGGTAAAACATGATTGGAGAAAGTGCTCGACTGTACTCACTGTGGAATGAAGTGGTATTGAGAGAAGCGGATAGGTGGTGTTGTATTGAAATTTTGACCACAAAAGTCAATGTAGCCATTGCTTCGATTTCTCTCTAGAAAAGCATTGGAAATAGGTTTTGAAGCATCTATAACAATCTTGGTTTGACCATCTGTGTAGGTGTAGTATGCTATGCTCCAATATAACCATGTGCCTTGTAATTGGAAAAGCTTAGTGCAAAAATGATAAATACCTTGCCTTGATCAGATTCAATGGAGGAGGAAAATCCATGTAAGTGCACAATTTTCTTTACAAGCATAGCAACCACTATTTTGGCAGTGTAAGGATGGCTAAGTGCTAAGAAGAGAGTGTATTTGCTCAATCTGTCCAACATTTCAAGAATTGTGCATGTCTTTTTGATCAGGGCAATCCTTCCATAAAGCCCATGGAAATGTCTCCATACTTGATCTAGTATTGATAACAGTTGGAGAAGTCTTGATAGAGTCAAAAGATTTGTTTCGTTGGCACACTTGGCATTCCTCCATATACCTTTTCACCCCCTCATACTGTCTAATACAACTCATTTTCGGAAGTTGGGGTTAATATCAAACGGTTATTGTACCGCCAAGTTCCTTGGTGTGTGGAGAACTTAGGGTGAGTAGATGAATCTTCCTCCAAATCTTGTTTAATTTGCATCAACATGGGGTTGTTCACATCTCTTTCTACCATCTCGGCATCTAACATAGTGGAATTGAGCTTGGAAGTAGTTGATTTATGAAAGAACATACTACTGGATTCAAGATTTCACACCATGATGTCTAGTAAAACATGACATTGCAATTTTAGAGAGAAGTGAATCCCTGCTCTTTTGTTGCTTTATCAAAAAGTCTTCTCCTCAGGCTTAGATTTACAACCTCCTTCCGTACATCCTTGATGAATCCTTTAACGTTTGAGATAGCATGCATATCAGCATCCACCCATGCAACTTCCTGTAGACAAATTTTGCCTTCCACGCAGCATGCCCTCCTTTGGCTTCAGTAATTAGGGGCAAAAAAGCCAGCACCATGGACTTGACCTCGTAAGATTATAAGCCACTTGAGGGTATCAACACCATACCTACTCAAACTTTCCTTTCTCTGAAAACCTCCACACTAATGGATCTCCACAGCCACTTTGAAATTAAGGCTTAATTTTTGTGTCAATTTTTCTCACTCTCATGCCGCCTGAAGAAAGAGGGAGGCAACTCATTTTCAGTTTACCAAATTGTAACCCTGATATGAGTTAACTCCTTTTTCGAATTATCATTTAAGTTTGACATTTTAATTGGAAGTATAATGCACAAATACTCTCATATATATATATATGATTTTTTTTTTTGTTTTCTTTTTTTGTAAAACACTAAATGCAAAGTGAAGATAACTAGCTATTATTTACCTTACCTTGACAGAATGACGATAAAAGAAATCGGTTCATCTGATCTGGTGCTAGAGTCACTTGCCAGTTGTTTTTCTAGAAGTCCTGGTGAAATAATGGTATGGACTTTATATCACATAATATAAAATTTAAAGAAGCTTCTCTTCTCTGCTCCATCTGATTAAAACTGGTCATAGTGTAAGCTTTGGTCCAGCTGTTTCCCATTTGCTTTGTGCTGGCTTTACAGAGATATGAAACACCATCAAACATCTTATACAGGCAAGATATGAAGTGCTTACCCAGGGAGAAACAGCTGTAGGGTGTTTTAATAATAGGATCAATGAGGAGACCTCACGTATGGGAAGTTCTGTTCTTGATAAAGATCTTGATTCAGCTCTTGATTCGTTTGACAATCTATTTTGCCGCCGCTGCCTTGTAAGTTTTCTGTAGTGGTTCTTCTCAGAGTTGTGTTCATAGTTTTTACTCAATAATTGGTATGTTTTTATTTCTACAGGTCTTCGATTGTAGACTACACGGTTGTTCCCAGGATCTTGTCTTTCCTGTAAGTGTATGCTAAAAGATCATGTATATACATGGATGTATGTACATTTTGTTGTATCTATCTTATGAATGGATATTATGTTGTCATTGATAGAAGTTCTTGTTCTGTAAAAAAAAAAATCAGGCTGAGAAACAACCTAAATGGGTAGTAGGTGAGGAAAATGCACCCTGCGGTCCACTCTGCTATCGATCGGTATGTGTTGGTTTTTGTTACTATTATGATTTCATACTTTAATTATTGAACACTATTTCGACTGTTTATCTGAGTAGTCCAAACCTTATATATTTCTTACAGGTACTGAAATCAAACAAAAATGATACAGGGGGTTCTCCACTTTGCAGTGACTTGGAAGAAAAACATCCCATGTCCTCTGATGTTACTGGCACCCAAATCTCAACAAAAAAGAAATCTTCTAAAGCTGCTCGAAGAAGGGCAAAATCCTATCAAAGTGAAAGTGCCTCATCAAATGCAAAGAACTTATCTGAAAGCAGCGAGTCAGATAACGAACCCAGGCAGGATGGGAATGCTATTCATCTATCACCATCACCACATTCTAAGATAACTGGAGCAGGTGGAATACGAAAAAGGAACAGCAAGCGTGTTGCTGAGCGTGTTCTCATTTGCATGCAAAAGAGGCAGAAGAAAATGGCTGCGTCCGAATCAGAATCTCTAGCCAGTGTAGGTCATTGTTCAAATGATGTGAAATTAAAATCTAATTCTTGTAAAGAAAATGACGATACTAGTTCTTCGTCACGTAAGAACATTAGATCTCCTACACCGGGAAGGTCCAGGAGGAGGGAATCCCTGACTCAGAAATGCAACAAATTTGAGCAGAATGAAACACTTCTTAATTCATCAAATGAGATACTTACTCATCTACCAGCTGACAGTTGTGATGACAACTCGAGGAAGGAAGAGTGTGTGGATGAAAATATATGCAAGCAGGACCTGGCAGATGATAAATCCTGGAAAGCTATTGAAAAAGGTCTTTATGAGAAGGGTATTGAGATTTTTGGTAGGAACAGGTCTGTGTACAGTTATGTTTTGTCTGTCTATATGTATTTGTTCTTCTTTTAATATTCTGTTTCATATAATTTATATGGTTTAATCTTTCATACAGCTGCTTGATAGCAAGGAATTTACTAAATGGGATGAAGACCTGTTGGGAAATTTTTCAATACATGAATTATTCTGAGAATAAGAATTGCAGTCAAGTAGGTGACGGGTCAAATCCTCATCTTGAAGGTTATGCCAAGGTTGTCTCTTGGAAACATGATTAATAAGTTTCCAATTTGCCTCTCCGATTTCCATTTTTATCTCCCCGTCCAATTTCTCTCGCTTGTACTAAGTTTAATGTTGAATTTTTCAGGGTAATAACGAGGTGAGAAGAAGGTCGAGGTTCTTACGTAGAAGGGGTAGAGTTCGTCGACTTAAATATACTTGGAAATCAGCTGCTTACCATTCAATACGGAAGCGAATAACTGAAAGGAAAGATCAGCCGTGCAGACAGTATAATCCTTGTAATTGCCAAACTGCATGTGGAAAGCAGTGTGCCTGTCTCTTAAATGGCACCTGTTGTGAGAAGTACTGTGGGTGAGTCCTCCTAATTTTATTGTAGCTATTTTCTGATATTTGCATCATTTTGTAGGAAATATTAATGATTCATTTATATTTTAATCTTTCAATTGACGTTTAAAGGTGCCCTAAGAGTTGCAAGAACCGTTTTAGAGGATGTCATTGTGCTAAAAGTCAATGTCGTAGTCGTCAATGTCCTTGCTTTGCAGCAGATCGAGAATGTGATCCAGACGTTTGTAGGAACTGTTGGGTCAGGTGAGTTCATTCTTTCTTTCAATTTTCCAGTAAGTTCTTATTTACAAGAGGAATGATAAGGGACCATGTGAGTATGATAAACTGATTGTTGGGATATGAAGCCTGATACCTATCTATAGTAAAAGATCTAGTAGAAATATATATGGTAGATACTTCGTAAAGATTTGGTAGAAATATATATGGTAGATACTTCGTAAAGATCTGGTAGAAATATATATGGTAGATATTTCATAAAGATCTAGTAGAGATATATTCCTCCTTGAATTTTCTCTCTCATGCTCTTTGTGTTCATGTGGATCGAGTGTGTATTGTTGTGCGATCTTAACACTGATGAGTATTTGTGCCTATCTCAGTACAATGTTTTGGACACATGTAGTGGCAGCAATCCCATTTTGTTTTTCAGTATTTAGAATGAACAATGAAGAATTTGAAGTTTTTTAGAACTGAAAACATTAGAAAACAAAAATTCGAATGCATTTCAGTGCAGCTTTTTTCCTCCTATCCTATTCAGTATGATTTTTAATATCATTAACTTACTGTGCAACTTGCCTTTGTAGCTGTGGTGATGGTTCTCTTGGAGTTCCCAATCAAAGAGGTGATAATTATGAGTGCAGGAACATGAAGCTTCTTCTTAAACAACAACAAAGGGTATTTCATTTATTCTTACTCTATTTTGATCAAACTTAAAATGTTAGATTTTTGTTGTTACTTTCATGGTGCTCTCTGAAGACGATTTTCGGCCAAGGCCGCTTACCCTTAAGTTTACTTGAGCTATCTATATTATTGATTTAAACTTGGTGATCTAGTAAAAAATTTACTCGTCCTTTCTATTATACACGATGAGGCCACTGGCTAGTTATGATTGTTGTTTGGCTATGATTCATTGTTGTCTGGCTTGGCTAGGATTGTTTGAGTAGAAAAAATTTGCATTCCGAGCAATTGGATGGGTTCAAGACCCCTTAACTCAAACTAACTCGATTTCGAAAGAGCAGTCGAGAAACTTTGGGTTAATGTTGTAATGTCTTTTCAATGGATTCTGGTTGGAAAGAAATATTAGTGTTTGTTGAGGGTTCTTTCGAATGGGATGGTGGTGTTTGATGATGTCAAATTCAATCATTCTTTTGGGTTTCTATAGGAAAGAGTGTTTTCTTTTTATTTCTTCTGTGCTGTTCATTCTAATTAGGAAATTTTTTGTCATGGCTATGGCTTGTGGATGAGACTTTTGTTGTGAGGTCCCATATCGATTGGGGAGAAGAACAAAACCTTCTTTATAAGGGTGTGGAAACCTCTTACTAGCAGACGCGTTTTAAAAACTTTGAGGGGGTCCAAAATGGGAAGCCTAAAGAGGTCAATATCTGCTAGTGGTAGGTTTGGGCTGTTACAAATGGTATTAGAGTCAGACACCGGGTGATGTGTCAGTGAGGAGGTTGAGCACCCAAAAGGAGGGGACACGAGGTGGTGTGCTAGTAAGGACGCTGGGCCCCAAAGGGGGTGGATTGAGGGTCCCACTTCGATTGGAGAAGGAAACGAGTGTTAGCGAGGATGTTGGGACCTGAGGGGGGTGGATTGTGACGTCCCATATCGGTTGGAGAGGGAACGAAACATTCTCTATAAGAGTGTGGAAACCTCTCCCTAGTAGACATGTTTTAAAAACCTTGAGAGGAAGTCCGAAGGGGAAGTCCAAAGAGAACAATATCTGCTAGCGGTGGGATTGGGTTGTTACATTTGTACTCTTGCGTAATTGGAGGGTAGTGTGATATAATTGACTCCAGTTTGGTTTCCAATTTGTAGGTGTTACTTGGAAGATCTGACGTATCTGGTTGGGGAGCATTTCTAAAGGTAACGTCAAGTTCAACCTGCTATCAACTTACTTTCTAGTACTGCTGCTTGCTAAATTGAGTTGCCACCTCCAGAATAGTGTTGGCAAACACGAATATCTTGGCGAGTACACCGGCGAGTTAATTTCTCACAGGGAGGCTGATAAACGAGGAAAAATATACGACCGTGAAAACTCGTCGTTTCTGTTCAATTTGAATGATCAGGCATGTTCCTATTCTATAATTCTTTTTGGTAATAACTTGAGAAATCCTCACTTTGACATAATTTTTTATGCTTTGTTTAGTTCGTTCTCGATGCATACCGAAAGGGCGATAAATTAAAATTTGCCAATCATTCTCCAGATCCAAACTGCTACGCCAAGGTAAGTGTACACTGTATGCATCTTTTCATCCCAAATTTGGTAACAAGTTCATAATACCTCCTGTTGGTCATCTATTTGCAGGTCATCATGGTTGCAGGAGATCACCGAGTTGGCATCTTTGCCAAGGAAAGAATCAGTGCTGGCGAGGAACTGTTCTATGATTATAGATATGAGCCCGATCGAGCACCTGCGTGGGCTAGGAAGCCAGAGGCATCAGGGTCGAAAAAGGACGATGGTGCTCCTTCGAGTGGTCGAGCTAAGAAACTCGCATAATTTAACCATTCATTTGGGACTTGGGAAGGCTTGAAATGTAGTGTAATTCTTTCATAGACAAAAGGGTGAGTCCTCATTGATGGTAGATCATAGGTGTTATTCTTGGATCAATTTGTGTAAAGGGAGATGATTTAGTTACCTCCATAGGAAAATTTAGACTCATTATTTATTATCACCCTTTTGATTAGAGAACACATTGAAGTCAGACTTGTGTAACCAACTTACAATTTGACTAACACCCTGATTTGTTAATTGTTAAAGCAAGCACAGCTGGGCGAATTCAAACCCAAAAATTTCTATTTTCTCCTCCCAAACTTACTGTTAGCAGATATTGTTCGTTTTGGTGTTGGTCTCACGATTTTAAAATGCCTCTACTAAGGAGAGGTTTCACCCTTAGAAGAAATGTTTTGTTCTTCTCTCCAACCGATGTGAAATCTCATAATTCACCTCTTTTGGGGCCTAGTGTCTTTGTTGGCAGATCGTTTAATGTCTGGTTTTGATATCATTTGTAATAGTTCTAAGTTCATCGCTAGCAGACATTATCTTCTAGATTTCATAATCATCATGTCAAACGCCTATAGACAAAGCTCCTACAACACATTCATAACTCTTTTCTTTTACGAGGTAATTTGAAAGTCATGATTCAAGATTCATTCGACTCACCTTACCGCTTTTTCCTTCAAACACTAGGTAAAGCTATTCCATACAACTGGTTTCTCATGCTATTAAATCTCCAACAAAAAAAGGAAATTGATAGATGTTTGTAAAAACAACAACAAAAGAAGCTTTTAGGCCCAACGCCCCTACCTATCCCTAATTCCACCTCTGTCTTCAAAAGTCAACAGTATTGGTAGACTACTTAGCCGTGAAGTAAAAATTTATTACATAGTACTCAATACGTTTTTAATTTTCAAAATTTGTATCTATTTGGTAACCACAATGAAAAGTTTAGCGTTAATGTTCAATAAATTTAGTATAAACTTTACGAGAGTTGCAATCAATCAACCTAGACTTACCCTTCAATACACACCAATATGTATGCACTCTTGCAAGATTATGGCCTACCACGTGATGAGCACTCAATTCAAAAAGTACCTCACAAAGTAAAATCACTCAAAGTTGTTATCACATTTGAACTTCAATCCATTCATTCATTACCTTATCATTCATTCGATCCTTTACGAAAGCTTGAAAAGTAACATAATTAACTATACTAAGTATTTAATAAATTTAAATTTATCAATTCAAATATAGATCTAACCGAAACAATCCCATATAAAAGTAAAAGTTTTAACATTTTGACCGATAATAATTGAATTATACTCACAGTGGTACAAAACAGCATCGTTTGAAGATACCAAAATAAAGTGTGTGAGGAGGAAAAAATGAAGAAGAAAGTGATTAATTTGTCTTAAAATAAGAGAAAATTAAAGTTAAAACAAAGAAAATCCCGCGTTTGATACCCAAAATTTGTCAGCTTCTTTTTCTCTGTTAATTGCAATTCCCTTTTGCTTTGCTTTGCTTTGCTTTGCTCTCTTTCCTTCTTCTCTCTCACTCTCGTGCTGCTCTCTCTCAGCTCTGCAATGTTATCGAGCAGTTTATGGGAACTACCCTCTTCCTCTGCCATTTTGTACCGCTTTCTGACGCTATTCTCATTTCTCATCTCCATTTCAGCCGCTTGCTTTAATGGAAATTGTCAGGTTCTTCCATTTCTTTCCACTGAATCTCGATAGGGATTTTTTTCTATCTTTCTTCCCTTCTGGGTTTAGATTCAACTATGAGAATCTGCAGGTTATGGAAGCTTGTACGGCTGCTACGGATTGTGGGTCAGGTCTCTACTGTGGGAATTGTCCTGCTTCTGGCCACAATCAACCCGTTTGTACTAGAGGCCAAGCCACCGTTCCCACTTCTGTTGTATGTTTCCTTGTTAATAGCTTCTTTGAATGGAAGATTACTCGAACGATCCTTTGCCATTTTCTGTGATTTCGAAGTGAATTTTGATTTGTTTTTATCTTTCTTTGCGATTAGATTAATGGCTTGCCCTTCAACAAGTACACTTGGTTGATGACTCATAACTCGTTCAGTATTGTTGATGCGCCGTCTTTGGCTGGTGTTCAGAGATTGACGTTTTATAATCAAGAGGATACTGTAACTAATCAGTTAAGAGTATGTGCTTGGATTTTGGAAGACAGATGTGCTCTCTTTTACTTCATGAAGTTGTTCTAATCTCAGAGATGTTCTTCATCTTTTACTCTGTTTGTTGCATTTCAACTCTTTAATTAGTAAGCATTGTTGATATTATGTTTTTTTTTTTTTTTTGTTTATCCTTCTTTGTTCAGAATGGAGTGCGGGGACTGATGCTGGATATGTATGATTTTGAAAATGATATCTGGCTCTGCCATTCATTCAGGGGGCAATGTTTCAACTTCACTGCCTTTGTAATCAATCTTCTTCAATCTTACATTATTTTAGATATCAATTTTGTTTTGGCTTTTGGGTTTGTAAGCAAGATTGTGACTATCGGTCTTTGAATGTTCTTAGCAACCAGCAATTAACACTTTAAGAGAAGTGGAAGCATTCTTAACTGAGAACCCAACTGAAATTGTGACCATTATAATTGAAGACTATGTGCTTACTCCAAAGGGGTTGAGAAATCTATTCACCAGTGCTGGGCTGGACAGATACTGGTTTCCTGTATCCAAGATGCCAAAGAAGGGAGAAGATTGGCCTACAGTCACTGACATGGTTCAGCAGAATCATCGGCTTCTTGTTTTCACATCTATTGCGTCGAAGGAAGCCGAGGAAGGAATTGCTTACCAGTGGAAGTACATGTTGGAAAATGAGCGTAAGCATTAAGTGAATGCAATATTCATTATTCATGACTTTGAATTTTGTCTTGATGATGAACAAGTTCCTTATCTTTGGATTTCAGCTGGTGATCCTGGAGTTGTAGTTGGTTCATGCCCGAATCGAAGAGAGTCAAAACCGCTGAAATCAAGAAGTTCTTCTCTATTCCTTCAGAATTACTTCCCAACATATCCAGTAGAATCTGAGGCTTGCAAGGAACATTCAGCTCCACTTTTTAATATGATCTCCACATGCTATAAAGCATCTGGAAATATTTTGCCAAACTTCTTGGCTGTTAACTTTTACATGGTATTGAGTTTAGTACACGTAAAAACACGACTATTGACTCAAATTTACAATGACTAACATATCATGATGAAAATCATGCAGAGAAGTGAAGGTGGAGGAGTCTTTGATGCTTTGGATAAGATAAACGGCCAGACGCTATGCGGGTGTAGCACACTTGCTGCCTGCCAGGTTTGTTTAGACTAGTTTTCTAATTAGTGACTATATTGAAGTTTATTCATATAAACTTGGTATATGTTTGGCCATCATCCGTGTTTTCTATTTATCAAAATTCTTGATTTTGTATTGGCATTTGCGTTTCTTTGTTCGAGTTAGTCTTTTATTTCTCAAATTAGTCTCTTGTTTTAGTCTGCTAAACTATGGATTTCTGCCATATATTTCTTGTAATCTTCTCAATGACCATACCTTTTAGATAAACTCGTGAGAAAGTGATCTCTAGTGGTCATCAAATTCAGAAACATTCATTTCCCTTCATGATCTGCTAGCAACAGCTTCTATTAGGGAAAACATGACTAAAATGTTTCAATTTTGTTGACATTCTATTCTTGGACAAAGATAACAAATGAAATGTTTCAACTTTATATATTTCAATAACGGTGAAATTTTTGTTTTGGGAACATCAAAAGCTTTAAACATTTGATTATCTTGCTTCTGTTCTTGATACCATTTTCAGAAAAGTTTTAGCAAGCGATTCGTGAACGAAAAAGCCATGTTTTAATTTTAGGAACGGATCAAATATATTTTCAGCTGTTATAAGTTAGCAGTTCTTTTGTGCTTGCCACAGCATCCTGTCAACACATAATTGAACTAGTGTAGGTTCCATTTTGGGGAGTTATCCAAGATGTTTAATCTGGTTGCTGGCTTGGTACATGATTTTCCTCTTGCTTACCAATAATGTCTTAAGTACTCATCACCCAAATTACATCATTGATGGCTTTTGCAGGCTGGAGCTCCTCCTGGTACTTGCAAGAGTATTCCAGCCCCTAACACCGGTCCATTGAGTAGTACCACTGGTAGCTTCACCGGGTCTGTTCAGTTCACGAAACCGTCTGCTTCGACAGTCCATTCGCCGAATCTTATGGTTCTCTGGTTATTCTACTTACTATTGTTGGCATTCTTAAAAACAAGAATCAGCACTCATATAATTGGCTTTTGAGCAACCATTCACGGAGGTTAGTCTAGTATATTGTATGTAAAGATTGAGTCATACCCAGTATACTGCATCCCAGCCATTCTATAGCAATATCTAAAATTGGTTAATAGACTAGTAGACTCTAACATTAAAAGGAAAGACCATTTTGAGATTTTCATTCAGAGAAGGTAAGAAGTTGCGGAGGTACAGTAGAATCGGAAACGGAAGTGGACCTGGCAGACAGCATGAGCTATTTCAGGTATGCAAAATTCTTCACCATATCACACTGGCTTTGTCATTGTACTATCATACCATGTTTTCGACACCCTATGATATATCACTTAATTTTTGTCAAGATTTGTTTTAGCTTTCGTAATGGTTTCGCTAAGTGTTTTAAGCTTTCGTTAGTCATTTTTATTCGAAAAGGATATGCAGATCTTATTTTTTTTAGAACTATACGTGACAATTTGGATAGTTGAATTTCTTTGACAAGAAGATTGGAGATCAGGAGAAGCTTTACTTATTCAAGTTAAACATTTTATACTAAATCCTGTCCGGTTATTATTAGATATTTGAATCCTTATCAGAGAGTTGTTTTTTCCGACTGGTTAAGATATATGAAGATAGATGTGCTTAACTAAAAAGGTTAGAAGTTCAAATTTTTGCTCTCAAATCTTTTTAAAAAATTTGTGTTTTTTTTTTTTTTTTTTTTTTTTTTTTTTTTTTTTTTTTTTTTTTTTTTTTTTTTTTTTTTTTTTTTTTTTTTTTTGTCGTATATTTCATCACGTTCTTCTCCTATGCTATAGTTATTTTTCTATCATTTGTTTCTTACGTAAAATCTGTGTTCTTAGCTTAAATAGAAAAATTTGGTCCATATGATTTAGATAAAGTTAGAATTTAGTCTCTAAAAGTTAAAATTTCGTCTTTCATAAATTGTATTTGGTTCAAAAAGTCTCATGAATAGTCGTCTTTACGGTTGGGAACGAGAATTTAGCAAACCATAAAAATTAAATCTAATAT